GCAAGAGCTCAGTCGAGTTTTTAACTTTTCAAAAACTTGTACATGTCATTTGCAAAGGGGGAAAATAGTAATTATTCATTTTGTGAAGATTAAGAAAGTTAATTTCTGTTTAGTGCTTAGAACAATATCTGACATACCAACAAATATTAACTATTATTGCTTTAGAAGTATGTTTTCATAATGCTCCAAGGTTATAGCTAACATCAGCTGGCACTCATATCGTCCCAGGTTTATTGCTTGGGTTACTTGTATTAACGTTTTTTTTGACCAAGAGGTGTCAGAGGTGGGGTGAATGACACACTACAGATCCAACAAAAAATCTGGGTAATGAATCAGAGACAACCTTTAAGACCTCCTTGTTAGGAATCAGTGTACAAAGCATTCATAACGGTCAGCCACTTCTTTCTCCAACCTATTTCAGCTGTAATCACCAATGTCTCCTTTTCTTTTAAGTTTTGACACTTCAATTATAATAACTTGGTTGCATCTCTTTGAGTTTATTTGAGTTTATCATTTTTTTTTCTTTTTTAATTCTCTGGGCTTCCTACAGCTAGATGTTTGTTTCCTTTCTCAGGTTAGTGAAGTTTTTAGCCATTGTTTCTTCAAATAAGTTTTCTGCCCTTTTCTCTTTCTCTTCTCCTTCTGGGACTCCTATAATGTGAAAGTTGATCCACTTGATGTTCCGTAAGTCCCTTAAGCTATCTTCACTCTTTTTATTCTTTTTTCTTTTTGTTGCTTAGTATGAGTTTCACTACCCTGTCTTCTAGTTCACTGATCCCTTCTATACTTGATTTAGTCTGTTGTTGAATCCTTGTATTCTAATTTTCAGTTCAGTTATTATATTCTTCAGCTTTGTGATTTCTGTTAGGTGCTTTCTTATATTTTCTTTTTCTTTGTTGAAATTCTCACTTTGTTCATGAATTGTTCTCCTGAATTCCATGAGCATTTTTATGACCATTATTTTGAATTCTTTATCAGGTAAATCACTTATCTTCATTTCATTAAGGTCTGCTTCTGGAGCATTATCTCGTTCCTTCATTTGGAACATATTCCTTTGTTTCTTTGTTTTTCTTGACTCTGCGTAGGTTTCTGTACATTAGATAAAGCAGCCTCCTCTCCTCTCCTCTCTCTTTTTTGAAGGAGTAGTATCGAATAGATGAACCTCATTGTTTAACTTGGCCTTGATTGTCTCTCAAACCTTTGTATAGTCCGATCCACCTTCTTTGTTCTTAGGGGCTTCCAGTAGATGAGAGTACACCAAGACTTGTCAGTGTCCCAAAAGGGATAATCTTAGTCAGTGCCTAAATGTAGGATGATTGAAAGCCTGACGCTCAAGCAGCAGCTTTTAAAGTGTGCAAGTAGACCTCTTTCACGAAAAGAAGGTATCAGATGGGGCTTCTGTCTTCTTCTATGCTGAGTCATGGGAAAATAGCTGGTTCAGAAGTGTTTCATTATTTTCTACAGTCCTAGAACTCAAGTCCCACTGGCCATAAGAGCCAGGCCATCAAGCGATGACTATTCCCTGGGTTGCAGTGGCAAAAGCCAGGGTGCCAGATGCATGTACATGTTCCAGGGAGACATCAGTATCCTGGAATGGGTCAAAGGGAGAACCCACTGGTGGAGCCCCCTGACCTCCCTTGCCTCTAGGGAGTATAGCAGTCTGTTTCTAGATGTGTGATCAATTAGAAGCCTGACCCTTAGACAGCACCTAGTAAAGTATGTAAATAGGCCTCTTTCAGAGAAAGATTGGGTGGTAGAAATTTCTGCCTTTTTTCTCTGCATTGAGCCCTGGGGGAGTGACTGATTAGAAACTGTTCTTTTGTTTGCTACAGTCCTTTGTGACCCAAGAATGAAAACTCCACTTACCATCAGAGCCAGGTGACCAAGGGGTATATCCTCTAGATGGCAGCCAAAAAATCCAAGGCACCAGAAGCGTGCACTAGCTTCTTTCAGGAAATACAGCAACTTTAAAAACATGGAGATGGCTTTTGTTGGCCTCTTCGGCCTCTGGGGAGGATCACAGTTGGCCTGTAGATGTGTGCTAAATTAAGGTTGCAGCTTTTAAGATACACAAATAGACTTTTTTCAAGGAAATATTTGAAGATAGATATTTCAATTTGCTACCTCTGTGCTAAGTCCTTAGGGAATAATCATGTAAGTCCTCAAGAGCCCAGTAAGAATTATTTTTTTGTTTGCTATAGTCTTGTGTGTCTCATGGACCAAACCCTATTAGCTTTCAGAAGTAGGCTTTTTGGGGACTCATCCCTCAGATGGTAATCTTAAAAGTTTGGGTGCTAGATGTTGAGTCCAAATCCTTCACTCCTTGTGGAGAAGCTGGGAGTTGTGAGTTTCTTCTGAGTTATATATTGCTGTGGCAGGGGTGGGGTTTATAGAAGTGTGTCTCAGCCTTTCCTACTCATTTTGATGCAGGTTTTTCTCATTCACCCAATGTGTAGGAGTTGCTTAATTAGTTTCTGGATTTCCTTCAGAGAGAATTGTTTCATGCGTACCTGTAGATTTGGTGTATCTGTGGGAGGATCTGAGTTCAGGAGCCTTCTGTGTCACTAATTTGCATCAGGACCTGATAATTATTTTCATTCTTCACTTGTGACATCAGTCTATTTTAGTCTATACTTTTCATATGATTTATTTTTTTGCAACCAGGTGTCTCTCCCAGAAATATTGTACTTCTGATACCTTGTTGGCTACTGTTCCATAACTCATTGGCTTTATCTGTTAGCATTATTCCAAAACCATGTATTCCTTATTTTGTCAAAGTCAGTAAGTCTATGTTGGGGTTTCACTCTCTAGAATATAAGCGAGTCTGCATTGTTAGCCCCTTTGTTTAGTATATCTGATTAATTCATAATTTAGAGTACATTATGAGCCTTCTTTCTACTTTTACTTTATACGAACTTTTGGATTCCCTTTCCACCAGGTTATTAAAGTAAAAACTAATGTACATTAGTCTTTCCTATTGTTGGTATTGAATAGACTTTTTCCCAAAAATTACTTATCTTATTATTTCTGGTGTCCATTATTTAGTTTTCCAAAACAAAACAAGGAAATACTTATGCTTAGAAATGCATATATTTTCTTATTTTTATATTTTTATAATATTTTTATATTACAAATATAAATTATTTTTTTGGATCATTGTGAATTTGGATTTTATACATTCTAACTAATATTTCTAACTAATCATAATAATAATAAATATATTTACACTCACATTGTTTAAGCTTGTCTTTGGAGTCCTTACGCGTTAACCACTTTACAGTTTAGTACATTTTATCTGTGATAAAGATGTTGCTTTATGAAAGAATTTTACATTTCCTTTTCCTTTGCTTAACAAGCCTGCATTCTCTCATCTAAGAAGATTTTGAGATTTAATCAATAGCTCTATCACACTTCCTCTACTCCAAAACATAGGTTAATAGAGCTTTTTCTCATTGTTTATGTTGTCTTTTTGCACTTTTAACTATATTTTGGACACAGCTTCTCATTTAGCTTAGATATTTTTAAAACAGAGTTTCATGTTTTTGAAATTATTCTTATTTTCTGGGATATACAAAATGTGCTAAATCTAGTTTATTTTCTTCCCACTCTAAGCAGGATTGATATATGGCCTAGCAGTCCTGGGTCCTTTTAATAAAGAATAAATATTACTTTAGACAAAGATCTAGTTTATAGCATTGTTTATGAGAATTTGTGAGTAAGTGCTGCTGTTGCTGTGGGAATGTTTTTGATCGTGACAGTGTTGAAAAAGAATGTATTGTCAAATTTATAATTTTACCTTTTCCCACTTCCAATTTAACATAGTAAAGTAGTAGTTCATTAAAGATCATTACACACACACACACACACACACACACACACAGCAGGAACCGTTACAAATAAGGTAGTTGCTATATATTCCTTAATTTGGTTATTCTAGAAGCTTAAATTTAATACTCTCTAAGCTGCTAGGTACTTTTTGTCGTCTTTAGCTGCTATAACAAAATACCATAGACTGTGTGATTTAAACAATAGATATTCATTTCTCACAGTTCTGTAGGCCAGGAAGTCTGAGATCAGGGTGTAGGAATGTGGGTCATAGGACAAAAACATTCAGGTCATGACAGTACTGTAAATGAAGTCAGGTACCCTGATGGTGTCTTTATCACAGAATGTCACATTTCCATTTCCTTTGCCTTAACAAATCTGTTTTCTCTCATCTATGAAAAATTTGAGATTTAATGAGCAGTTCCACTATATCTTAACTTCGCAGCCAAGTTTTCGTGTCTTTGCTTATAAGGTTCACATACTGGGAACATTAAAAGCTTTTGCTCATTGGTCACATTTCCTTTTATCATCTTGCACACAACTTACTCAGTTCAGAGAACTTTCTAGTGCAGAGCATATAGCTGCCTTTGAAAATATAATACCCAGGAAAAGAGAAAGATGAGGAGATGTTAATTAATTTTTGTCACTTGTAAACTTGTATTTTCAACTTTTCTTTGGAATAAAACAGTCTCTTCAATTGTTTATCAGCTAATTTCTGAGTTGTGAAAACTCCATTTTTCTCACTGTATTCCCCCATTCAATCTTTACTGTCACAAACAGACAGACAGAAAAAGAGAAGACACTTTTTACTTGCATTTGCACGGGGAACCTTAGCAGCAGACAGTAATTGTTCCCGGTCTGTCAAATTAAATTTTTATTAGGTATAATGATTATATTCTTTTAGGGTATTGTTAACTTTTTTGTTTGTTTGAATAAATAAAAACAAAGTGCATTAATTCCACGTGACACCCTGATCTAGTGATCTCAACAAACATGGAAGTTTCTACTAACTTTTTTGGTATTGCTTTCTCAATTTCCTTTTTTCTTTGCTTCATCTCCCAGAGTAAGTAAAAAACCCCATTCTTTGAAAAGACTTCTCCTTTTGAGCTGTCTTTTGTATTGGGAACTTTATAGTCTTACAAGAATAGGTAAGACTGGTGTTAAAATCTCAAGTATTTCTGAATATATCCTTTTATGCACAGAAATAAACTCTGAGGAAAAAATATAAGAGGCATCTGATTCTCCCAAACATTGGACAACAAGAGAGATAACCCACAATGGGGCAAGAAAAACCTCAAAATAAACGTGAGTACTTCTCTCTTTTCAATTTTAAAGAGGCAGGTAAAATTATGACTAAGATTTAAAAATATAAATTGATGGTAGTTGTAGTTTTGAAGACTGAATATGTTGATATGGAGATGAGAAGGTAGAAGAAAACGAGGATGACCATAGATAGATTCAAATACATTAGGTAACAGAAACTTCTTCGTGAAACATAAATTGGGCCAAGAGAGAAGTTAAAGTGTATATATATTATACATACAAT